TTACTATATTAGTAGTGGGGAGGAAGGGTAGGTTAAGTAACCACTCTAGCCCTCGTCTTAGTGTCCGACTGTTGTAGATGGAGTACGGGTCGTACGTAGTATATATAGTATATGTATATATATATATATATATATATATAATATATATATTCTTTTCCAGCCACATCTGGCTAGCACCTTCTGTTTATATTTATTTACAGTAACTCATTGCACAATCTCTCAGTGTGAGACTTTATGTAGATAGGAAGTTTCCTGTTTGGTCTGAGCATCTCTCTGACATTCTCCTTGATGCATGTATCTCCCTCTCATTCTTTTCTACTGAAGTAACTGAGAACTTCTGCTTCCCTACTCCCAAGCTTTGGGGAGGTTGATATGTAAAAGTTCCCCATTGGATCAATCTAATCCTACTGGTATGAGACCAAGTGATTGCACTTTTCAATGAGAAGTGGGGCTGGGTTGTTACCTGGAAGTGTAATACAAGCCACCCCACTACACTATGAACCAAGTTACTCTTGGAGGTTAAGCCAGCAGGATGGGTCTTGTGTTTTCCTTGTGATGCAAGTGTGGGTTATTTTCTCCCTTTCTGATTACTCTGGTAAGTAATCCATATATGCATTTCTCCAACATGGAACAGTCTGACTTATTGTACTATCCATAGTAGGTACATATTATCATCTGAGAGATAATGGCTAGTTGAATGATCTTACTTGCTGCACACTTTTGTGACATGAGATGGATGCAGTTTCCAACCAACTGATGCCCCATTTGGATACCCCTGATCTAGTGGATGACATGCTCCATGAGTTTTCCTCTTTCTGATGCTGTGTTTTCAGAAATGAGTTCATCTATGTAATTTTTTTATCAGTACTTACCCTTCCACCATCTTCTCAATGTGGGATTGTAGCTCTGTTGTGAGTGAACATTTTCCCTACCTAAAAATGTGTTTCAGATAATTGCTCACTCCTCTTGAAATAGCATCCCACCCTTCCACCCTACTTCCAGTGTATTTATTTTGTTCAGCTACTAGTGTTCATGGAAAATGTGTCACCCTCTTGTTGGTGGAAAACTATAGTCTAATGAGCTGGTAGAATACATGTTAATATGTGTAAGAGTGAAAGCTTCATTCAAGGCGCATGTGATACGCACAAAAATATTCATAGCAGTAGCATGAGGTGATAGGCCTTTGTTGTGCAGAAAGGTGAATATCTCAAATACATTTTAAGGTAAGGAAAATATTAACTTTAAATTTATAACTAAATTAATAGTGCACTTCTCCTTGCAGATTTTGACCTCAGTATTGGCATTTTTGGCTCTAGTAGAACTTAGTCATAATGTTCATCGAAGTGTGGCCTTAGCAGAAACTGTACCAAATGTTGACTTTCAAACTCCTTTTCTGAAGTTAATATCATTTGTAAGTAACATGATATTCCTATAAATTGGTGTGTATGCATGTGAAAATTTGTAATACGTTTTAAATTAAGTGCCTACACTTGTAACAAATGATGTTGTTGTACTTTGATGTGACTGATATCTAGATTTCTATTATAAATTTGTTCTTTTATTCAATTGTTAATTATATATGCTACAAACGTTAACATGATCCTATCATGTAATCTGTTTACCCTGTGAAAGTTTGACAAAGATAAATCAACTTAATATAATCACAAGACATAATTGTTTTTCATTTAGATCTGCAAAAACTAGTTGTGCAAAATCTTAAAATATTGACAGAAAATGCTGGTTTTAGCCTGTTCTGTTTGATATTGAAGTAATGAAGTAATGTTCTAATTTTTATTAGGTAGTTGAAATAATATAGTGTCATTTATATGAAATTTGGAATTTTTTATTCTATAAAAGCATTCTTTACTTGTTTTTCAGCTTCTCGTCATAGTCTTGGTGTTAACAGGGAGAGTTCGAGGGATTGTTTCTTCAGGAGTCCAATTCTTTTTTTGGGTTCTCTTAGCGATCTCAGGTCTAGTCACTTACCGTTCAATTATACAGGAGGCAGTAAATGAAGTGAGAATCCTTTAAAATGTCTTGTCATTTTGGGAACAGATAATGCTAATAAAGGTTTCATAATAGTTAGAAAGACAGCATTAATGGATATAAAAAAAAAAAGATAAACATTCATTTGATCTTGGTAACCTTTTAGCTACTTTTGATTGATGGTGCATAATAAATATAAGGTTAATGTGCCAGCATACTGGGCACATTAAATCAAGAACTAGCAAGTTACTGACATGTATTTTACAAGTTATTAAAATTTGCAAACTAGTAAAGAAAATGTATTGTGAATGTAGAATAGCTCTGGAGATGCACTACTTTCTTACTTGGGTATGTCTTCAGCAACACCAAGGCTCAGAAATATAAAAATTACAGTTTTTGGAACTTTTACAGCCATTTAATAAGCAAATATGACCACTCCATTGACCAACTTAACATCATTCCCACTCATCCAGTGGAAATTAGAAATATCATTAGAAATAAATTCATTTCATTTGAATTGCTGGGTTATAGTTTATTCTATTCTACATTGTCATACAACAGTATAAAAGAAAGTGAATTGTTGACAGTAGCTTTGGGTTTGATAATTAATACATTTTATAATTATATGCAAGAAAAAATAGGAAATATCCTTCTTTATCTTATTCTACTCTTTCACTCATTCATTACATTAGCCCTTTTCATTTATTTGTTACTTTTTTATCTCTTTTCCTCTTTTCATTCCCTCCTCTCACACATTACTCGGTTGTTTTCTTCAGACTGAGGATTTTTTTTCAGTTTCCAATACATTTTATTTACACTACTTAACTTTTTCAGAATAAAGACAAACTGCTAGTTGATAAAAATTATTTATTTGTGTAGTTGGTATTTCAGCGTATAATGAAATACAACTATCAAGAGTTGGAAAATTCTTCAAACTGTAACATTAAAGCTCATTAGCCTAATAATTTGTGTAATATAAATTTTTTATATATTTTTGTCTCTAAATTTAGCATGGTAACCCTGGTCTGATGGATGATGTAGGTATGGAATACATCCCTTTAACTAGTACCAGATGTGGTCTATGATGTTGGCATCCAAAGATAATGCTACACCAGTCTCTTTCTATAAGTAATGTATTATCTGAAGTACATGCTTGGTAGGGATGAGCACAATAAATTCAATTTATTCTATTGGCACCAACAAAAATCCTCAAAATAGTTGCTTGGATATCTATCCTTTAATACACAGCATCCAGTACTGTTCCTAATGAATGTCTCCCAACACCACTGGAGTACCTCCCCCCCCCCCCCCCAACTCAACCTGTTCAATTACTGTACAGCCAGCATATATGACAGTGACTGTCATAAAAACCAATACATAATGTAAAGAGCACTTTATCAACTGTATTTCATTCCTACATCATACACTGTGCTAAATAAGCTGGGAAGAGCCTTGGTAAACTCCATTCTAAACTCATACACTGTGTTGAATACATACTCACTATATTTGTATGGACATAAACTTGCTAATTTTCCCTGATTTGTGATGTTATTGAAGACACACCTGAGGTCCTTACAGAGCAGTTCCATGTTCACAACTTATTCTGTTACAGTTTTGTTTTAATCCTAACCAGTGGCATCCATATGAACCTTAAAAACTTTTGGAGCCAAATTTTATTTAAACTATTTGTGCACCAAATTGCTTTTGATTTTGTGAGTTTTCAAGGTCCCTTTTAATGTACGAGTCAACCAAAAAATTTAAACAAAAATATCACCAATACGACAATTAATTCTACTAATTAATGTTGAGGTCCCTTATGTATGTTCTTTACACCAAATGTTGTAATACGCAAAAACATAAGATTGCTTAATATGATTCAATATATGGACTTTAGTGGTAATAAAAAAAAAATTCTGTAATTTAAGAATTAAGACGATAGTAGCTTTGATTTTTATTGCTAATTTGTGAGTTATATACAAAGTTTGTGTAAATAATTATTTGATTCTTATTAAATAGTATTACAGTATATAAAGTGATATTGAGTATACATTAATTAATGGAATACATACAGAAATTATCTTGTGAACACAAGATTTTAAAAGTTTTCATTTGTCTTCTTTGGGCATAATTTCAAGAATTTTTCTTTTGTTTTTTCTTTCTTTCTTTCCCATATGTGTATTATTCATACATAAGTTTTATGTTGGAAGATATCTTAATGGTAAAATAATATTTCATCATATCCTGGAATGAGATCTATATGTAATGTCAAACATTATATATATATTAAGGTATGCAATATATTTATACTGAACATTAAGCTTACACAAAGGTCGTATGTTGAAAAAAGTGGAAATAATCAAGAGCTTCTAGAGTTAAAGGTATAGTAATGCTAGTTTTTTGTTATAGATGACCATCAGAGATATAGCCACATTTTCCACTGCAATGATTTATTACCCAGTTGTTTTAGTGTGCCTTATTCTTTCTTGTTTTGCTGATGCCAAACCCCAATACAGGGAGTATCAACCTAGTCCTGATGAGGTTAGTTGTTTTAAAATACTTGTGTTTCTTCTTTTGTATGATACTTTTTATTCTATTTATCAGTGAAATAAGGGTCCAAATGGGCCCCCAGTGCTAGTTTTTCAGAATTTTGAATTTCTCATGAAATAAAGTAATATTTATCATACCTGCATATTATAAGAATACATAGGGACAATTGACCTCTTCTTGAGAAAAGTTTAAAATTTCAAAAAACTAGCACTGGGGTAACAATTAGACCCGTATTTTACAGGTTAGGATGGAAATATTTTTGCATCATAAGATGAGCATTAGTAGTGTGTGCTTTCCTGATGAGTGTTTGTACAACCCACTGTAATCTCAATACCTTATTAAAGAAAATGATGTGAAAATTGGATACTAGTCTTATATAAACAAAAATCATATATTTATTGTTTTTTAAAGACATAAACATATGTGACTTACAAAGATTTGTACAGGTAACTACCAGACAAGTTTTTCTGTACAAGCCTTCATAGTGTACTGATTTTCTGAGATGATACACACCTCTTTACACAGAAAGCTATCTTCCCTGTGTGTCTGCCTTAGAGATTTGCATGCCACTAGCCTTAAGACAACTCATGAGATTTCTCGTGAGATACACCATTGCATAATGACATTATTATGCAGCAAAAGTGCTCCACCAGTAGGAGGGCATCACAGCCTCTCTATGCAATAGCTCCCTCTATGATTTTGCACATGTTATTCATTTTATTTCTTGGCACTGAACATATCATACATGTTTTTTATTTGTCAATTTAATGAAATTTGCAATGTTTAGTGAAGTTGCTTTCCTTTTTTTTTCCCTTCAAACTACTTATATTAGTGACTAATTTCCTCACATAAGTTGTGTAACAATTATGGCTTCTAGAGGCACATTCTCTGGGATGACGTAGCAGCCATTATGATTAGGGTAGTGGGTTCCCTTATGCTGCCAGGAACTTCAGCTCCAATCACTTCTTTAGGCATTTCTTCCCCTCATTTGTGGGGTTGAACGAAGAGGGCGAATTTGATTTTTGCTTCACCTGCTTAGGCTTTTGGAACTTTTCTCCCTGTGAAAGAAAAACTTCAACTTTCTCACATTCTTTGGCCTTGATTTATCAGGTATGCTCCATTATTTTTATTTCCCCCTGTGTCATATTCTTTTTCCTCTTCCCTACTTCTTAATCCTAACTTTAACTCCTTTCATTTACCCTTCCTGGACTACTTGTATTTCTGCAATATTTCGTATCACCCTTCCCGTCTCTCTGATTCTTAATTACAGTGGAACCCCCATTATAACGCAATAGTTGGGGTCCACGAAATGCAATCACATTGAATGTGGAGTCACGTTATTTCAGTGTACATATAAATTGTTATTTTCCATACCCCTTGCATTGATTTTCAGTACATGAGATGTGTTCTTATTCATTTGAAAGCTTCAGATACCCAAATTAAGGGCCCAGTTCTTGTTATATATATCTTCTACTATAAGTTATTTTTATCATATATTCCAGCCATAAACTATAGTATGAGAAAATTATCACATGATTGTGTTTATTAATTACACTGTTGACATGGTTAAATGCAGTAACATTTATTGTTTTGCACGAACGAACACGTGGTGTGTGAAAATAAAATGCTGAAAAATTCTAACATTTCATAGGCTTACCTTAAGTTAAAGAATAGAAATCAGGCACGTAAAACTTACAGCCGATACAAAAACAAAAAGTTATATGATTAATGTAATAACATGTAGAGATTCGCAAAAATCCATTGTTTATTAATTTCAAAATCATCTAATGACTTTTATTGTCTCATTCCAGCTGACTTCTGGCTGCAAGCAAAGTGTAGTATGTATCTTAGTTGCAGGACGCATATGCTGTCAACATATTGGCTTTAAAGCTATCGAAAACTAGTAAATGCTTGGAGACAGCTATAATGGGTAATGAAGAAAAACTTTAATATAAGTTTAACATAATAGCAAATGTACAACGTTTCGACAAGGTTTTGTCATCATCAGGTAACTAGTTTCAAGGTGTTCTATTGCTTCAGTGACCTTGAGAAGTGCGGCTGATAAGACGTCATTGTAGTCTTCATCAGACACCTGCTCATAGGTTGTTCAATTGTTATCTGCAGACAGCCTGTCAATAGAAAATTTGGAGCCATACATTGACCTCGTTATATCTGAATTCACGTAAAATCGGGGTTTCACTGTACTTGATTTTAATTTTCCTTCATTCACTTTCGTGATTATCACACTTAGGATTGTTATTCCCCCTGTGTGGGGATTATTGACTTCCAGTACCTACTACTCCTGTCTTTACCTGATTCTTTTTTTACCACACTTCTTTTCTTCTCCTCTCTACACCTCCAATCTGAGGCACCTCACAGTGTCCCAGTGAAGTTTTCAAATGTTCTCATTCCATTCACTCCTCAAACATGGCCATTTCACTTCTGTTATTCTCTTCTCTCCTGCCTCCTTGTTTTTGGGTGTTGGTGTGTTGAGATACTCTCCTATCTTAAGTTTGACTTTATTCTTTCTATCATGGAAAAAGCCAGCACCAGGGGGTGCTCTGCCTGCTTTCTTGGCTTGTGCTTGCTGGCTTTTCAAAGTAGGTGTACAAGGTTACCTGTTGCACTGTCTCCAGTAAAAGACCTTTCTGGCAAGTGTCCGATAAGGTTCCGGGTATTTTTTTTCAGGTCTCCCTACTGCAAATTCCTCTTCTTTTTTCTTCAAATGGAACAAGGGAGACCCTTACCATTTACCAGATCCTAGCTGCTGAGAATCTTTACTGATTGGGACCTATTCGCTATTGACTGAACAAATGGTGCCAATCAGTAGGAATTGGGGCAATGGTGACACTCTCAGTGTAATGCAGGTCACCCCTCTCATCATTATACTCATAACATGTGAACATTCCCATCCCAGATATAGGTTCCTACATGGTCTAGTGTTGAATTGGCATAGGACCAACAAAAACAAGTCCTCACACAAGTGATTGGTAGAGATCCTCCTCCTAGTGGGAACTGGATGACAAATTCCCCATGCTGCCTGGTTTTGGACTGGAGGAGTTGACCCACAATGTTTGCATTCCCCCTTCCTACCATTGCCCGGATGCCGGCTTCCCGGGTGAACTGGTGTAGGTTGTATACTGGTTCTGCACACGTGTACCCTGCATGGGTTGTCAGAATGAAAGTTGCTTCTCTTCTCTCTTCTGGTCTTGAGATGAAGATTGTTGGGACTCTTTTCATAACACAAACCAGAAAATGCATATCCGATGCTGCCTGGTTTTGGATTGGGGTTGACCCAATGAATACCTGCAATCATCTTCTGCTCAGTTGTGTTGAGATGAACCCTTCCTAATACATCATGCCCTCCTCTTGCAATGGATAACTGAATCAATGCACATACTAACATTATACAATGTATGGCATGTATTGTGTGTGCTCCTCTCAGAGCTGGTGTTGGTCAAAGAGTCTGATAGTAGAGTTGAGAACAATATGCGCTAATACTTCCTATGCTCTCCTCCTGCAGCTGGTGTTGGTCCAATAAGTCTGATGGTAGAGTTGAGGTCAGCCCTAGGTATGGTCTGAACACACCCCAACCATGCTACTTAACTTGGCTCTTCGACCTCTCATGTGCACGTACTCACCCATACTTGTGACACATGAGGCTTGTTTGTATTTTCCTTCTGTCCAATCTAGGAAAAGAGTGTACTGTGGAAGAAATGGGATGTGTTCTCCCACAAATGTGTCTCTATGGCCTGCCATTGAGAGTCATATTCTATGGATTTACTTTGGATGTTTTTTGAAGGGTAACTCATCTAGGTAACTCTCACTCCAGTCCCTTCACCATATCAATGTGGGATTCTACCTTTCTGTGTGGAGAGGTGTGTATTGCCTCACAAGTTAATGTTTTCCTTACTTCAAAGTGTATTTCCAATAGATACTTACTTCTGCACACACATTTCCCACCCTTCCTGTCCACTTCTGGTGCAACTGAGTATTTGTTTTCTCATCATAGAATAAAGGTGATGAGGGCAAAATCATAGATGGAGCTACTGTGCAAGGAGACTGTCACCCTCCTATTGGTGGAGGGCTTTTGCTGCATAATAATGTCATTATGCAGTAGCACAATTCACAAGAAATCTCATGAGTTTAGGTGGGAGTTGCCTGAAGGCTAGTGGCATTTAAATCTCTAAAGCAAATGCATGGGAAAGATAGATACTCACCTCTCACACAGAAATCTAGCAGAAATACATTTTCCTTACAGGAAAATGTTAACTTTTCAGACAAAATATTTCTAAAACATTTCACATTTCTGATTAACATTGTTTTGTGACAGTACACATGAAACTTTAAGAAATAAATGCTGTGTTTTTTATTTTCACAGGATGAATGTCCAGAACAAAATTCCTCTTTCCTGTCTCGTTTATTGTTCTCATGGTTTACAGAGTAGGTTTTTTTTCTTTTGTTTTTGAATCATTGTTAGTGGGAAGTTGCAGTTAAGCTTCAAAGAATTTGTCCTAATTTTATATACAGAGTGTATTTCATAATTATATCGTGCATTACATTGATCTGTGTTCTCTTTCAGGAAAGTTGAAATTCTTTGCTGAGTGTTTGGAAAAACTGAAGTTTTTGGCTTCTGTAATAAACATAGAAAATGAAACTAAGTTATGCAGCTTTACAAAACACGTTTCATTGTTTATAGCGTAGATTGTTCTAAATCTTTTATATACTCATTTTTATAGAAGGTGATTTGCTTGTGTAGAAATACTAGATATGAATTAACATGTAATGACTTTATTAGATAAAATAAACTTTAGTTTTTAAAGACTGAGAAAACTTGTATGGTAGTAATATTACTACTATATGCATAAGTCTCTTAAGCAAAGTTTAACGTTTAAAAAAACTAATACAGCATATGAAACAGATTTAAAGTTCTTAAATATATTAGTTAATGTAAAGTTTTTTCATGAAAGGCTTGCTGAATTTTGAAACTTACAGTATGCTATTCATCTACATATACTCTAATATGTTTTAGTACATACATGTCAAATTTATTTACAAGTGTTGATGCAAGTTCGTAAACCTGATACCGCTTGAAAGTTTTTGTTTTTTTTTATTATTATTATTATTCCTGTAAACTCCCAGTGGAGCATAGGGCCGTAACAACACCTCACCAACGGAAAGTTGTTGTTGCAGTTACTTATAGCAGGTTGGTTTTTGCGGGGTGGAGTTGCTAGCCCCATGCCCAAC